ACGGTTGCGGACGGTTGCGGACGGTTGCGGACGGTTGCGGACGGTTGCGGACGGTTGCGAACATAGAAACAACGGATCGCGAACAAGACTCTACCCCCAGACCCCCAGAGTTAAACGAGAACCCTTCGCTACGCATTCGGGAAAAACAAAGAACTGCCACGCAGCCCACGCAGTAGTTGGTCTTTTTCATTCCCTGAAGCATCATCCCTATGGATCCACATACCTTCTCAGAAGGCAATTGGACCCTCCAAGCCTACATTGTCTCAAATCACCTTCTCAGAAGGTATGTGGATCCATAGGACATGGTGGTTATTTGTTCTTTTTTTCATTCCCTGAAATCATCATGGTGGTGGTTACATGGATGGAACCACCTGGTGGCCTTGGGATTGGTTTTCATGGTCAAGCTATGTCGAAGCTCGGGGCTGAACTGCCATCCTTCTCTCCCTGGACTCTGGACGCTATCTGTCTATTCCGTTTTTGGACTCGGAACAACATTATTGATGAGAGCCTGGTCATCTCAGGTCCTCTTTGCACCCAAACTGGCCGAGCATCATTCAGCATGTTCCAGTAGAGGTTGAAGGTGATGAGATTCCCAATCCTCAGTGAGATGGGGATTGGTGTTCATTAAAGCCTTGGCAGCCTGCACATGACGATTGATCACTGGCCACTGAGCTGGATTTTCACATTCCCTCAGGTCTTCTTCAAGAGGCTGGGTTCACGATCCTTGCTACTGAAGGAAATGGCAACATATGGCAACTATGTATGCCGAATGCATACGTATCGACCGCAGTTTCTGGGTTCAATCTTTCACCATGCAGAAGGGGTACCCAGTTCAATAGCCCCAGTTGGTTTGAAGTCCTAGCAGCTGCAGGGGCAGAACATCAACTTTGGCAGGTGGACCCACCGAAGTTTCATCACGAAACTTCAAGCTAAAAGCCAAGCCCAAAGGGCCATAGAAAGATGCTTGGGGCATACTTGAGAAGTTATTAACTAAACATTGAAGTGAACATGGTTGGTCAACTTCTTCTGCTCACTTTCGACGTTGGAAGCCCAAAGATGGTTTCTTCGCCCCTGCACTGCAAGCGTTGCTGCATTCGAACCGGCTGTGGTTCGATGTAACAAAGGGTTTTGGCTGGGATCATGTGCAAGTTTGCCCGGCTGGGACCTTGCTGCAGGCTTCTGAAGCGCAACGCTAATTTCCGTGTTTGCGTTGCCTTTGGTCTTTAGGTCACATGACCATGATCTCCCTACATCATGCTGAGCAAAAATGAGCAAAGCAATACTGTGAAGCGGCGTCTCGGGACGGCTTGGGTATGGGCGATACGCCGATACGTGTTTCTTCCTTTTCTTACCCCAGCCCATTCGTGCCAAGCGTCTGCAAATCCGTTTGCCCATACCCCAGCACAGCGTAGCCGCCATACCTGGCCCAAACGACCGCGAACGCGGAGCGGACCAAATCTGTGTGATGCAAGCCACAAAAACAGAAACCCTAACAAAACACCCCTTTCTGCCTTTCAAAAAGGTTTCGGGACTGAAGGTCTCTACGATTTGGCGGGCATCCTCGCCTGACTCAACATCTCTCAGCATCCTCCAGTGGCTCTGAAGGTACTGTGAACGATACCTTTCTTTAAAAACAACAGACACACCACTGCTGGCACTGCAAACAAAAACGGAAGAACTCGCCCATGGAAGTTGTATCATCACAAAACCCAAATGGATTGGACTCCTTCAATGAACACGTGCTCCTTCGATGACCAGATTCGTTGAACGTGCGTCGTGAAAAACGGGGCCCCGTGAAACACGAGCCTGCAAACACTTGATCACCTTGGCCCACTTCAGTATAGGATGTTCAATGATGTTCACATGGTCCGAGACTGATACGTTCGACGTCCAATCCTTGGAACAGAAACATCATGTCACTTCGCCCCAGGACCCTGAACACAAGATTCCCCACCACAAAAACTGCCTCCTTCCCCCATCCCGCCAGAGGATTAGGATGGTGGCTGCGAAGTCCACGTATTGTGTGATGGCCGTGACACCCGCAGAGGCATAGGAGTCCTTCATGCCTGGGCAGTGAATGGAACTGCATGTGAAGGCAGGTTTTTAGGGACTTTTTAGGGTCCTTCCAAACATCATACATTCAAACACATCCAAACACTCCATGCGACTGGAATATACTGGAATTACATACCTACATCATTGACCTCTTTTCAACCACCGCGGGCGATGCTGGTCAATATGCCAGTCCCATCAAGTATCTGTGAGCTGATGTTTTGGAACGCCTTGACCCAGGCTCACAGCCGTTCAAAGCCTTGTGGTTGTACATCTTCCCTGCCAATTTCTGCACACCGTGGGTTCTTCTCATAAGGTCCTATTCCAAGCATGGGCGACTTTGGCTCCTATGTTTGCGTACTACCGGTGCAAACTACAGAAATGGCGAAACCATGAATTGCTCAATGAGTTCACGAAATAGAACACGATATGGAATTCAAGATTCCAAGACACCTTGAAATGCAAAGGGCTTTTGATCCTAGGCTACGGGGTTCACCCAAGACACCGTGGAAAAAACCTCCGCGTGCTTCGCCCTGTGTCCCTCTTCTTCGATGAAAGCACCATTCTTCAGCGCCGTGTCCATGTGCTGTCGGAAGGCGGTCACTTCCTTTGTTGCGAAGTGAGTGGGACGAGGAACGAGACGTGACTGAGTGGTGCTGAGTGAGTGGTGTGTCATCTCCGAGGCGTCTCCTATCGCAGGGTATGTCCGCAGGGAGTGGTGCATACTAGGTGGCATCACATATGGAAATTGTTCCAACCTTTGGCTCTGAAGCTGCAAAGACAAAAGTCTTCCTGCAAAGGTACAATGTACAACATGTGGACCAAAAGTCTTCCTGCTAATTCTTCTTCAAAGAACCAGACGACTAGACACCAAGCATCAACATATATATATATATGTATGACGATCCATTGCTTACCTGGCTAGAACAAACACTGCTATGACCTTCGGTCGTAAAGGATTTCGTGGTCCAATGACAGTGGCCATGGGGGCCATGTCATTACAATCGAAAGGATCTTCGCATATCACATATCTTCACCATCTGTACCCCTAATAAGGTGCCATTCCCCACCACCCTTCGCTCTCTATTACTTTTGGCCACCTTCTCCTTCCCTGCAATCTGGACTCTTGGAAATGGCACTCTGTACACTCTCCTTCCTCACCACCCAAAACACTCCTCCTTCCACTGGTCTGTCTCCCCAAAAAACCACGCACCTTCCGAGCCGACTGGCTCCCCCCGTCCCCCGTCTCCCGTCTCCCTCCCCACCCAAACCCTTACCCGCCTTACCCCGCCCTCCCCCTGTCTCAGCGTCCAGCAGGTCGGCGCCAAAGGACCGCACGGTGCGGATGTTGCGCAGGGCCTCCGTGGAGACCGCGTTGGCGTCGGCCATGGACACGCGGATGCTCATGTTCACTTGCCTCGGAGCGGAGGTTCACCAGGCAGCTGCGAGGGGATGAAAGGACGGAGACTCTCCCTGTCCTTCATGCAGTGGAATATATACATGACTTGAGTAGTGAATGTATAGAATGCTTTCACATGAGAGAAAGTTCTCAATTCAGAGTAATTACTTGATTCATCTTCACTTGCCTCCTTCTGCGCTGGAGTCCAGCCACTGCGACACAATTGTCAATTTGCTTGACACATGCGATTGTCGTTGCTTCGATTCTTAGGTTGAGATGTGGTGACATGTCAATCAGGGGAGGGTTTGTTGGCCAAATATTCAAAGCTCAAAAACATAATAAAACATAGCTACGTGACCATGACCTGTCATTTTCGGATTCCAATTGGTGATCCAAATAAAGATATGTACAATACTTTTCGATCAACACATCAAGATCTGTCTGAGCCAGCCCTGGCAGTTTTCGACATTGAACAATTCAGGCCGAGTGGGTATCCAGTGTCAACATGCATCCAAGTTGTTGGCTCAGGCGTTAACACCCAATCCTGTAGATCTTGGGTTTCATAGTTTTATGATGTTTGATCTGCTCTTTGCTTGAACAGCGTAACGCAGATCAGAAACCATGGATTTCTGCACTCGGCCCCTCCACCCTCCTCCACCCTCCTCCATCCCCATCCGCCGCGTTTTGGTCCACACCGAGCAGCTTCGACCAGCGGGCGTAAACCCCAGTGAGGTAGACCACAGGGCCGATCATGGTGGCTGCCAAGACCTGAAGATCAGACCGAGACGGCCACCGTGAGAGTTGGGGCGGCCACGATGCTACAACTAACTAACTAACTAACTCACTAACTAACTAACTAACTGACTAACTAACTAACTAACTAATTAACTAACTAACTAACTGACTAACTAACTAACTGACTAACTAACTAACTGACTGACTAACTAACTAACTAACTAACTAACTAACTAACTATAGACACAACCATGTGCTATTATGTTCTTTCATGGTTGTGTTTTGCTTTGTTCGTGTGTGTGTGTGCGCGTGTTTGTTAAACAACGTTCTTTAAGAAAAAGTATATTATGAATATATATATATATATGTATACACACCCGCAGCGATGGAATGGGTTTTTGAGGGTCTGGACCCCTGCTGTGGAGGGTTCAAGGATTCTTAAGGAACATAGAATCATAGATCCTCAACTGGATGCTATTCTCATGTGGAGATACTTTATAGTGTCCCCCCAAAAATGAGGATATCACCCAGATACAGCTTAGTATATACATTTTCTTTCTCATCCACATCAGGAGATAACCTACAGTCATGCATCCCAAAAACCTCATGTGGATGAGATAATTTCCCAAAAGTTGATGTTATAGGTTTGGAAACAGGACGGGCCTAAATGGGCCCGGCCATACTCGCATCTGAAGGCCTGGGGAGGGCGTTGCTCAGTGGCTCTACAAACGAACAACCTGGTCATTGTGGCGATGAGCACCTTGCGGCCGCTTGTGGCCTAGTAACAAGAAGCTACAAGGTTGAAGGCCATCACTATTAGGTTGGAGGACATCGCTATTTGGTTGGAGGCCATCGCGAGAAGGTTGGAGGCAATCGCTATTAGGTTGGAGGTCATCACCATTAGGTTGGAGGCCATCGCTACTAGTAACAAGAAGCTACTAGTAACAAGTGCCAAAAGAACACCTCCTCATGATGCTTTGCTCAGATCTATTGTGGATTCACACGTTTTCAGCCGAGACAATGAAAAACCGCTGAACAACACAACTTGAGTCATGATGGAACAATCACCGAGCCCATCCACATAACTTATTCTCCCATCCTTCTCGGATTCTTTCATATTCTTTCATCCCTTCTCACCCAGCGGCTGTCAGCTTCCATGAGGTGAACAAGCACATAAAGAGACCCCCAACTAGCCGGAGGATGGACGTCAAGAAGGTGTTCCTGAAATCAGCGTGTTGCGCACAACGGCAGGGGTTGTGCCATCGGGGTTCCCTACCATCGAGCGCTTGCAGGCAGGTGGGATGTGTGGCTGGGGGTGAAGTGTTGATTTCTTGAGCCTGGATGTACTAGAGTATATAACTGCGGTCATGGTGACCGGTGATATTGTTTGGCCATTGTGCTATCCTAGCGACCTCTCCCGATATAATTACTCAATTCATAGTATAGTATATATATATATATAAATATTACAACATATGTCTAATTTTACATATCTTTACATTATATATATATATATCATTATTATATAAAATTTCCTTTTACTTGGACATCCTTGGATTCTGTCTAACTCATATTAGTAGAAGCCCCTGAACCCCAAAACCAAATGCACATTGACCTGGTCCCAGTGGCATGATCTGTCGCACCGGCTGCACCACGGCCGCCACATCGTTGGTCATCCGACTGGTCAGCTGGCCTCGCATTTGTTTCCGCGGAGCGAGGGTGGCATGCGGCATGCGGAGCGACAGTGCTGGTCGGCCCTGTCCATTGAAGATGGGAGTGTGAGAAATTGTGCAGGATACACGGCGAGGTCTGCTTACCTGGGTGTGGCTGATTTCTTTCAACAAGCTAAAGCATGACTGGAACGAGTGATTCTGTTGCATGGGGACATGGCCAGGTTTCGGCTGGTGGGGACGTCCTTCCCCACACAAAACCCGGGAAACATGACCTTGGAAGACGAAGAAATTGCACCCCAAGTGAACGAAAGGAATGCTAAAACAACTCCAATACACAAGGATGACGTCCTAAAACACAATGATTTGTTGAAGAGCTGTTGGAAGCTGACACTGGGCATGATTTGTGGAGAATAAAAAAACGTGGCGATTTCATGAACAACTCTTGATCAGCTATACATCCGAATCGTTTTTTCATGTATACTTACAGCCGATTGGGGACCTCATGACATCCCATGGGTATCTTGGTAGAAGTCTAAACGTTTATTTCTCTGCGCTGCCTTGGTTCACTCTCTCCGACTCCAAATAACATCAAATGAAAAAACAACATGAGATAAAGAGAGAGAGAGGGGTAGGTAGAGATGGATGGAAGCGAGCGAGCGAGGACGTAACTGCTTCCCGGTCACCGGTCATGGTGCCATCAAAGAAAGCAATGTCTTGCTTGACAAGACTTTCAAACATCACCTGAAACGAGGAAAAACTGAACCAGAGATAACCAAGGAACAAAGAACCAACATTTTCAGATGGGGCTGTCACAAGATAGGGACCCTAAACATCAAAAGTGCTCAGCAGCGTTGATTCATCAGCCCCACTCTGTTAGGTGCTCAGGGAAAACGTTTCCGGAGTTCCATGTCGGGGCGCTTATTGGATCGAGGATAGGGATGTACATTATCCACTCATTCGATGGGACTAGAAACATCTAAAAACCCACCTCTTTGGAACTCCTGACAGCGCAGTGCCTTCCGCACACAACTACCTGGTCCTTTGGGAGGAGTTTGCCCTGAGTCTTATGAGTGGGGAAGCATGAAGAAAGTTTGAACCACCAGAAGTGTCAAAATGGGTGTCCCATTTGGTCAAATGGAGAATCTTCCTGGTCCTGCTGCCCTGGTCCTGCAGGTGCCCAATCATCTTACATGAAAAGCGATTCAATTTTATCCAGAAGATGTTGGTTCAATGGTGGATGGTTTTGTGGACCTCCTTTGGCCCTTAATGCCATAAAACCATCCAAATTGGGGGGTGCTGGCATAGCCACTTCTTCACATTCTCATCCCAGTTCAGCTCGGACACTCCCTGAAAAGATCCTGGAACTGGAAAGCCGCCTAATTGTAGGGGGAAATGGTTATCCAACGGGATCCAGCGGGCAATTGTCCACTTCCAAGCTTGTTTCAGGGAATGTAACCCTTGTTGATGGGCCTCGGTATCGATCGGCGATGCACGGCATCCCAAATTGGGCAACAGGCCAACCTTCAAAAACAGTTGATGTTGCCCATCTGAAAGAAGCGTGTTCGCAAGGGACAGCATCAGCATGTTTGGGTGATTCCTCCAAGTGGCACATGGCGGCGCCATGATTCCATATCACTGTTCCAACTGCAATTGCGGCTGACCATGGCACCCCGAAGGGGGGCGCCATGATGGGAAGCAAAGGTCATCATCATCATCACCATCATCATACGCAGATCCCCCAGACACTCCATGTCTCACATTTATACTTACACCGACCCCTTCTCAACCAAATGTAGGCAAACGTGTCACGCCAGTCGCATGGAATGTTTGGATCTTTGTGTACCGTCCCTTCCTTCACTCACAGGCACCGTCCGCACGTCACAGGTGATCCTGCAGCAACCCGGCGTGAGACGTTAACGTGGCGGCGTGGGTGGAGGAGACGGTCTCCAGGTCGTCCCGAGGGTGGCGTGGAGGAGCGGCCATTGCTTTATTTACTATATATATATATATATATTAAAAATATGTATATATGTTGGACTTTGCCCCAGAACACGAACAGTGAGCACAAAGATGGGCACCGCCAAGCGCACCAGAAAATTCGACCCCAAAAGGTGGTGTCTAAATTATAAGTCACCCCTCCCTAAACTAGAGTCAGAAAGATCCATTCTAAATTGGCAGCACCCTTTTCTCCGAGTTCTCTCTTGCCACTGGTCCACTGCTTTGGTGCTCTACACGGCACGCTCTTGTGCCCAAAACAACAAAGTCTTACAAGGCCTTTTCTTGAACCTCAGATGAGGGAGAACCATCAATGGAAATTCTTTGGGCACACAGTCCGTCAGACCCAGAGTTTAGGTACAGGTAGGATTGAATCAATGGAAGGCGCGAATACTCTTTGTGGACTTTGAGAAACTTCCAAGAGCCTCCTGAAGGCTTGGCCGGCCACTGCATTTCCAAAACTATTTCTTACATGACAGTACTACTTCCCTACTTACGTTCAATCTAAACTCCTAAGTGTCCTTAGCCCGTTGCACCTCTTTAGATTTGGATTCAAACGCACGAGCCGCACGACCTGTCTGGCTGGCAAACTATGTGAGGCTACTACAAGTTGGTATAATTGGTTCAATTCGTCGGTGATTGATCTGCCTGGATCGATGGAAAAGAGCTGGCCGCCAATCACCAACTCCAATAGGAACAAACAGACGACGAAACTGACGAAACATAGTTAAGATTCAAAATTAGCGTGTGGCGTTGGGCTGCAAAATGTTTGTAGGGGCGGTTTCCTTCTGAAAAATGCTTCGGGGAGATTCAATGCAAGTCAGGGAGATTCTTCTGAAACATGAACGTAGCGGTAGATAGGTCTGTCAATTCGAGCCCTCCTCGCTTTGCCTGCGCTGGCCAAGCAAATAGGATGCTGAGACAAAGGTCCTAGCCTTGCTGCCCGCTTGAGAAGTGTCCTTGGCAGTACTCACGACGGAAGAAGCCGCCAAGTGAAGTGAAGAAAATGCTGAGGCAAGCATCGAAGAGACCTTCACCTTCCCACCTTGGTTGGCACATTTGTCATCTGTAAGATTTGCTGCAAGTCTACCAAACTCTCATCACCTCCCACCACCTGTCAGTGATTGACGTAAACCGCAGGCCATGAGTCCACTGAGTCTATGATATTGAAGACTAAAGTGGAGAAAGTAATCCGAGACTTTAAAAGTGAATGGAGCCCGCTAAACTGTCACTGATGGGTCCAAGTGGCTGGAATCCAGTCTGTCAAGCGCCGCACATACATTGGCCTCCTCCGCATCGTTCTGCTGCTGTTGCCAGTTGGCATTGATGCGGCCCTTCGAATCCCGTTTCTTCATCTCATCAAAAAATGCTGCAGGGATAGCGGCATCAGCTCAAAACGAAGTTCTGAAGCACTGTCAAGGATTCCGACTTATCCACTCGCTGCTGGGAGAAGATTCAATTCGACCCGCCCCCCCAGCAACAGTCCAACAACTTCCCAAGATAGACCACCAGAAATCTGAAACTAGAATCAGGCCACTTCAACATGTGACGTTCTCATTCGTCTGAGAGACGCAAATAGTAGGGGGGTCAGATGCAACTGAGTGAAAGCTTTCAGGAAGAAAAGTTGAATTGTGACCCATGGCTGCATGGCCCGTGGTCTACATTGCCATTGCAAGGCCTGGGCTTAGGCTCTGCACAGTTAACTAACTTGGTCACCCTCTGGCGAGAGCGCATCGCCAAACCAAACATCACAGGAAATGGAAGAGTGAGAAGAGTTGATTGTAATCGTAGCTGCGAACTTGACAGAGTGAAAACGACAGACCTGGGAAACAAATGAATAGAAATGCTGCATGCCCAGCGGAAAAGGACGGACACCACCAGCGACAAACCTGGAAGACAAATGAAAACAGCGGACAGGGCGGACACCAGCAGTGACAGACCTGGGAGACAAATGAATTCAAATGCCACATGGCCAGCCGAAAAGGGCGGACACCCCCAGTGACAGACCTGGGAGACAAATGAGTAGAATGTTGCATCGCCAACGGAAAAGGGCGGACACCAGCAGTGACAGACCTGGGAGACAAATGAGTAGAATGTTGCATCGCCAACGGAAAAGGGCGGACACCAGCAGTGACAGACCTGGGGGACCAATGAATAGAAATGAGTAGAATGTTGCATCGCCAGCGGAAAAGGGCGGACACCCCCAGTGACAGACCTGGGAGACAAATGAGTAGAATGTTGCATCGCCAACGGAAAAGGGCGGACACCAGCAGTGACAGACCTGGGGGACAAATGAATAGAAATGCTGCATGGCCAGTGGAAAAGGGCGGACACCAGCAGTGACAGACCTGGGAGACAAATGAATAGAAATGCTACATGGCCAGCGGAAAAGGGCGGACACCAGCAGTGACACAAAGGGCGGACACATCTTAAGAAAGAATTGAGAACCCCTAACAGTAAACTGTTCTGTTTGGGGAAAAATGAAAAAAGGTGAGGCAGCCAGGCCCAAATCTGGGAAACGGGAAAGAAAGTCAAGGAAAAGAGGGAAGGGAAGACTGGGACAAGGATGCAGAGTCCGGGAAGTATTTGAAAGAGATGAGAGGTGCAGAAAAAGCAGGGCAACGCAGTGAAGTAGATTGATGTTTGCAAACTGTACTATATTTGGTCCTGCAGACTTCTTTGCAAAGGGTGACTGTGAACAAAGCTTTTTGGTGACAACTGCATGTTGGTTGAACAGCGCAACAAAAGATGACTAAGGCTGGCTACCTGATAACTTCAGCAAGTGCAAGTTGCAAGCCCTTTAGCCATAAGCCCTTTAGCCATACTTCCAAAGCAATACCCAGGAACAGCCATTTTAAACTATAAGTCTAGATAAGTGTTGGTGCTGGCAAAGCTACACACTGCATTAGCCTCTTCAAAGCAGCCAAATTCATGAAGGCCGTGCAGTGTAACTCAACATCAGGTTGGTGAAGAACAGGGAGTGAATGAGATGAGAGGGCCTTCGGGAGTGAATGAGATGAGATGACAGGGTTGTAAACCTTCACACTTCAAATCAGAATTGAAGATGGCACCTTGTTCAAGTGGCCTGATTTCAGTTTGAGATTTCTGGTGCTCTTTCTCTTAGGAAGTTTTGTAGGGAAAGCACTTTGCGACTGTTACTGTGGGGGGCATTGTCCAATATATATATATAATATCATTTGTTTGTGAGATCTACTCATATCAGCTCTGAAACTTGGGAAACTTGGGAGCATTTGCTTCTTCATGTCCACATGTAGTTTCATGTGTTTTCACCCTTAGAGTGACGACCCAAGGTCGTCCGATCTGATTGGAAATCGCCGGAGTTTTGCCTGGCAGCCCAAATTTGGAGGTCGAACAGTGCGAAGAAAACAAATCCTTTGTGGATGTTTGACGGTCTTGGAAAAGTTATTATGACACAGTGACCATGCACAACATTTATTGAGAATCTGGGAAACTGTGAAAAAGAACATACCGAGATACATCAAGCCATCCACTGTTTTGCCAGCCTCCGTAGGCTTGAAAGATTCTCTTGCTTTTGAGGTCTTGAGGAGTCGAGTCGTGCGGTCTGAATTCAAAGAGGGAGACTGACTCCCTGAAAATAAAACAACCGCTGGAAAAAAGGGAAATCAATGAAAGTAGCACTGTGTATGTGGGGTGTATGTCCAAGACCCTTCATTTGGCACAGTATGCGATCTTTAGGCAATATGTGTTAACTTTGTTTGATTCGAGTCTAGCTGGTATAGCTCTATCTTTACCAATGGCTAGTCAGTTTCCCTCCATGTTCAAGTCTCTCCTGCGCTGCACAATCTCCACGCAAATCGATTGGACGGAAGCAAAGAGCATGGTCCCTACAGAGACCAAAATGAACGTGGTCCTGAGCAGGTGTCTGCTGGGCGGTTCGGTCCATGTCGGCACATGTCGGCGCGTTGGGGTGGGATTCTGGGGCCCTTCTAAAAGCCCATCAGTCCTTCATGTTCTTTGGTGTCGAAAGGTATTGAACATTGTTGACATTATCAAAGTATGTTCTCAATCTTGCTGAATTCATTTGTCTTAAGTTGTGCTCAAGCCGTCTTTGGTCCACAAATTGGATGATCTCCACTCATCAACTCATCGGGCACGAAGAACAGCACCAGATTTTTAGAGGCCTAGATTGGAAGCCAATCCTGGGAACATCGAGGGATGATTCCAGAGGATTCAGTACTGGACGCAGCAGTGTTTTGACACAAAACACCATAACAACCTATAATGCCTTCCAGAAACATGATGCTGAAGATGCTGCTTTTGGGATCTTGGAGGACTGAGTTGATAGGTTCTGTATGGGGTCTCTTGGAAATTTGTTTTACCCAAGCTGCACAACCACACAAGCTACCCACTTCTCAGGATTGCAGGCTCAGGCGAACGGAGACCCCAATGGGCCTAGATATTTTTTGTGCGGCCCGAGCTGCAACAAGGATTCAAAGACCTCAGGCGTTCGGCATGCCTCTGCAAATGAGCGAGCTCATAAAGTAGATGGCACAAGTATTCAGAATTCCATTGGACCCCCATTCAAAACTACTGACGTCTCCTTTCAAATCACTGCATTCATGGCCGCTTTTTGCGGCCCACGCAGGTGTTAGAGATGGGCAAGATTGAAAGCAAACATGTTTTTGGGTGTGTTTCACTGCTCTGAGGATGTGGCGCTTAGTCACTTAGTCTCACCTCCAATCATTAACCATCGCGCAACAAACACTCTTGGGGTGTACCCCCCTGCCGACTAGCATGGACCCCCAATACGACAGGGTTGTAGAGGAAAATCATCTTCCACGGGTTTTTGTCAGAGTTCATGGCAGTTTGGAGGGAAGAAAACCAACAAAAATGTGGTGAAGTGCCAACAATTTGAGGTTGCTGGCAGCCTCTCAGACGTGACGCTTTCAGTTGACACCCCCTGTTAGGTGCTAAACGGGGATGACTTCGCACGCGTTCCAAGTTCC